GGCTGCAGTTCCTGTGGCAGTGGGTTGCCATGGGCTACCGTATGTAGCCAGCAGCCAGCATGAGCGGCCAGCAGCTGCAGTGAGCGGCCGTCCAGAAGCTGGCGACTGATCTGCCTCGCCCGGAGAGAGCACAATGATGGTGCCAACTTGGGCCAGTGAAGTAACGTCCTCCACAACTAGACTGAAGAACAAAAGGACAGCAACTTGTCTTCCCCTCCCCGCAACTCCCCAGTGCTGTTCCCATCCCCCAATTCCCCAGTAAAAATCTTTAAAAAAAAAAAAAATGGAAGAGCAGCAGTTCTCATGGCATTCCACAGATGTCACTGTGATGCCCAGGGCACCTCAGCTCAGTTTGGGAACTCTTGCTACAAGCAAAAAATTTAAATTGTATGTCCTATATAACTGTTAAAATTTGTGTGCGTGTAAACAAAGGCTGGATAGAAACACAAAGTAAAAGCAATAGTTTGACATATAGGTGATTAAAAAATATTTAAACCTTTTAAAATCATGTTTCCCTTTTGATTTATTTTCTGATTCTTGATCTCTATGTGCTGTCAAGGTACTTGTTCTTAGTTCCTCTCTATAGGAAAGAGCTGTAGAAATAATAAAAGGCTCCTTTTAAACTCTACAGCAATAATAGTTCAGGAAATTTTATTGGTGAGAACCTACCCTTTTGTGATTAAAATTAACTGTGTTCTCTTTTAGGACCATAGAGTGTTTTGGCTGATTACAGGAATCATGTTTATGGGAAGTGGCCTAATCTGGAGGCGTTTGCTGTCTTTCCTTGGACGACAGCTAGAAGCTCCTTTGCCTCCTATGGTATGAAGGGCCTGGGTCACAACAGTAGAGTAGAGTGGTCACAACCATGGGCTCTAAAGTCATACACCCTGGGCTTAAGTCATTGCAGGCTTTGTGGCTCTGCTCAAGTTATTTAATTTTTTTAAGCCTCTCAGTTTTCCCATCTGTCAGTTAAGTCAGTACTACCTGTTTCATAGTATTAAGTAAGTAAGAGTTAAGATATGTAAAACACTTGTTAGTCCAGTGCCTGGAACACTAAATAAGTTTGAAATATTTATTTTGTGTGGAACACTGTGACAAGGATTATACATCTAGACAGATGTTAGTAATTCTGGTGCAGTTTTTATCATAACCAAAATTGAAATGGAAAAAACATTTATAGTGTTCTCATTAAGAAAAGATTATTGTTTACCTTTTTTTTTTAATTGTTTCAGGTGTATAGAACAATGCAATAGTTATCCTTTTCACCCTTCACATAGTAGTTTACCTTCTTTTCTTACCTTTGTACTTGTGTTTTATACCACTGGAATAAGTACATACTTAAAATACTGACATGTGGCTTTGCAGTCTTTCCCTCAGTTAGTAGTCACATGGCTTTTCTTTTAAGGGCACAAACTAAAATTATTTTCTCTTCCTGCTTTATTTAGATGGCCTCTTTACCTAAAAAGACTCTTCAGGCAGATAGAAGAATAGAAATGAAACACAACTTCAGGCCAGATGGACTTGGATCAAGCAGAAGTGTCCTAACAAACCGTTAGTAACAACTTGGTGAAAACTAAATTTTTTTATGGTAGTCACAGGAAACTTCTGATACTGTTCATTATTTTCTTTTATAGAGTCAGAGACTTGAAAAAAAAAATCACTGATACTTACATTGTCTGATGGTAAAAATATGGCAGTATAATACTAGAACTTAACTGCATTTTCAGAATTCTAAGAACTAAAGTGCTTGCTCTGTAAAAGGCCAAATTTCTATTTCCTGCTAATTTAAACAGCTGTTTTTATAGACATGGGGCATGGAGAGATTAACACAAGAATACATTATCATATAGATGTTATTTTATACATATGAAGAAAAGTGCAATTTCATGCCGAACAAAGCCTGGAAGCTTGACAAACCCAGTTATCAGATCAGGTAGCCATAGCTCCTAGGACAGGGAATCATGTTCTTGCGAATTTCTGTACTCTCAGGTGACTGAAAAGCTAGCAAAATATGTATTAGCCTTAAAACAAAACTCTGGAAGTTTGTGTGGAAGTTTGTGCTTTATATCAGTCTTTGACATGGCCTCATTTTCTTATATTTGCCCATTTTTATAGAAGGTGGATAAAAAGAAGAAAATGGTAATTTAACATCATCTTTATATGGAATCCAATTAATCAAGACTTCACTTTCTTGACTCCTGAAACTATTTTTTCTTTGCTTGGCTATAATTAAAGCCTTTGGAAGTAGAGTTGAAAGAAGGTATTCCCATTCTGTTACTGTTTTATAGCTGCTTTGGTCATCCCGGATTTTTAGATTAGATGATTGTGTCACTGCAACCCCCAGAAAGGAAAATGTGTGTATAGCTCAGTTACACTCTGTATGCCCACTCCTCAGAAGGCTTCCTAAAACAGGAGGGTAAGAAACTCCAGTTCTGTGATCCCTTTTTGTTTTCACAACCAAATGGCTGATACGTGTGTCTCAAAGCTGCTATCCTTCACATCTGAACTATCTTTTTTATAGTTTCTGGAGGTTAGAGGCAGTTATGCAATAGGACATTACAGTTATACTTGCCTCTAAAAGTAGCATGCATGGAAGATTCCAGAGGGCCCAGAGCAACTTTTGTACTATAAATGTAGTTGTGATAAAAGCATAAATACGCATATCCTGATGATGGGGGGTTGGGGGGGGGGCAGGGGTGCACCTGATACCTTAATATGGTGTCATAGGAAGTTCAGGGGTCCATTTACCAAGTGGTTTGGTGATAGGAATAAAAATGGTATTCTAGCTGATTTGAAGGAAAATGTGAAGTTTTCCCCACTTTCATGTGTCGTTATGAGAAGCCATTAGAGGGAACCTGGCACAGCACAGACTGGATTTTTCTTAGAGCACTAAGGAGCATGCTTTATGCTTTATGGTGTGATGGTTGGCATGTGACTATAGCACTCTCTGGCATTATACATCTGTCCGATAATATGCAGATTTCACAGGGCACTCTTCTTTGGCATACCTCAAAGCACTGTGTTGCTATTTTTAGTCTTATCACTGTAAAATAGGTAATAAATATTACTTAAATGTGACAAAGAATTGGAACCCAGAGAGTAAAATGTGATTTGGCTAAGATCGGGCATAGGATAGAGTTTTGGTCTTTTTTTCCTTTTTGTGTTCGTTTGTGGGCTTGGGTGAAATAATTTTTTTTTTTGATGAGTCATGTCTCATCAATAAAAGGGAAATTAAATGTAACTACCTCACAAGTCTGATAAAGGTAATTTACTGATAGTTTATAAAATGCTCCAAAGTGATTAAGTCAAGTATGATTTCAAATGTTAGCTGTTTTGGTGATAGCAGGATGCTTCTTAAATTAAGTTTCTCTTAAATAGTACAACAACCTATGCCAAAAAAAATACAAAGTTCAGTTCTAAATTTTAAATTAAAATAATAGACTCAGCACATAAGCTATTCTTTGAAAGTAAGGTGATAGAATACCAAGCACTCAGTTATATAAGTAAGCAAGCAGTCATACCCACTGTTTAACATGTACACATGCAAGGACTCTTAACAGACTGTCTTTGTCTTTGGAAGGCCTCTAAGGAAATGTGGCAGAACAGATGTCATTTTTGGATGCTATTAACACTTGGTTTATTCTTGATAAACAGGCTGATAACCACTAAACAATATCACTAAAAAGCTATTTATTTTGGTGAGTTATTCCAAGAGTTGAACATAGCTTTGTTTTTCTGGAATTGCAATATTAAACTTGGGATTTACTTTAGTAATACCTTTGGAGGTGATCTAATGGATGGCGCATGGAACAAGGAACTCAGAGACCTCAGTTGATTCCCAAACTCATTTCAAGTCATACTTAATCTGTTAGGTCTGTCATACAGTAGGTCTGTCATACAGAGGCATCAAACAATTCTGATCTTTTAGCCTTGAAGAAAATTGTTACATAGATAATAGAAAGACAAAAATTGCAAATATGTTAATGTGTTCTGATATCTTGAAATAAAGGTACTTTATACAATTTAAGTAAAAATTCTGATTTGTGTTAGTGAGAGATTAAAACTACAAGGATTTCCATTTTGTTAAGCATTTCAGAACCAGTGCTTAGAATTATAGTTAATACTTAATGGAGTGAAAATTTAATTTATTGGGATAATACATTAGACTGTCGTGTTATTTTTCTTTTTCTGTATGCCAGGTTTTTACATATTTGTCACATACTTGTAGGTTAACTTTTTTTTTTTTTTTTTAAAGATTTTTATTGGGGAATTGGGGATTAGGAACAGCGCTGGGGAATTGGGGGAAGGGGAACAGACAAGTTGCTGTCCTTTTGTTCTTCAGTCTAGTTGTGGAGGACGTTGCTTCACTGGCCCAAGTTGGCACCATCATTGTGCTCTTCCCGGGCGAGGCAGATCAGTCGCCGGCTTCTGAACGGCCACTCACAACAGCTGCTGGCCGCTCACGCTGGCTGCTGGCTACACACGGTAGCCCATGGCAACCCACTGCAGCCTATGCTGTCGCCGGCGACTCATGGCAGCCCAGCTCCAGGTTGAGCTGTTCAGTATCTTAGCTGTAGAGGGCAGTATCACTGGCCCTCATGTGGGATCCGAACCGGGGCCCTCTGGCATCCCAAGCCAGCTCTTAACCACCACGCCACTCGGCTGGCCCGTAGGTTAACTTTTAACAGTAGGAGTACAACTTATATCAATTTTGAATATGAGGTTAGTATGGTATCCTATATCTTATACGAAAAGCTTGCTTCCAGCTTTATAAATTTTAGCCTTCCCCACCTGCTGCTTGCCAGCTGGTATTTTCAGTCGTTGAGAAAAATTAATCCTCAGGTAAATAATGATCATGTTTAATCATTGATATGCCCTATCATTTAGCGAAATATAACATAGCCATTTTATATAGTAATGGCAGTATAAAAGCATGCATCCTTCTGATAAAAAAGACCCAGTACTGAGAGAAACAGACCTTTACTAAAATGCAGTATCTTTATTAAAATGCTATATCTTCAGTTTGTTCTACACTCAGACTTCTCAACTCATAAATGAAAACAGCTAAGTAATTTATGGTTCCCTAAAAGTAAACTTCCTTTTAATTAAAAATAATTCTTCAAATAGGTTGAGCTGTAATTGTTGCCCAAACGAAACAAATGCTGTGTGTGTGCTTTTTGCTGTGCCATAGGGAGCCATGCAGCTAGCATACCTCCTTAAGAAAGATGAGACAGTTCCAGGAGTGGTCCAGAGGTGCTAACTAGGTATGTTCCCGTTTACGTTGTTTTCCTATAGATACCCAGTGCTCACAATTTTCACTCTAGCTCTTCCTTGATCTCTAATTTAACTTTACTCTTCAGCTGGATTCCTGCTTCCCTTGACCAGTCTCTAATCTGCCCCTAGAGAAGCTGAGAAGAGAAGGGCTCTTGTCGTTTGCTTTCTCCTTTTGTACATTTCACTAATGTCAGAAAAAGAGATTCTCCCTAATTAATACAGAATCAACTAGTTACAGTTTACAGATAATAATGCTTGCAAATTTTTGATGAAGCTGAAACCCCATGGTGCATTCCTTTCCCTTAAATGTGCCACACTGCAGGACTGGCAGATGAGACCCACTCCACCGGGACGAGCACAGAAAGCCAAGGCTGCTTCACTCCCCTCGGTCCCTCACTTACTTGATCGTTACTGTAAGTAGCCTTCGGCTCTCGGGCCAGGTCTCTCTCCTTTCTGCTCTAGTGCCGTCAGCACAACTTGTGGCATCCTAATGTCACGAAGGCCTTCTTGGGATAACTTAAAACTAGTGGAGAGTCACTAGGTTCATCACCTGTTAGAGCAGCCTTCTCTACAAAGCAAGTGATAAGTTTTAATTTTTATATTTGCCCTTCACTATATGAAACACTAAAAATGCAATAATCCTCATTAAGAAAGGACCAAATCATTTACAGGTGACTTTGGAGTTGTGAGGTCATCCCTCTCCCCCATACTTTTCTCCTCACTGTACTGTTCCTCCTGTTTGTTTTTTTCCTGTATGTTACACACTTTGTTTCACTCTGATTGGAATTGGTCAACAATTTTAAAAGGGCATTTTTAGGAGGAATAGTGTACAGAGGTTTTCCTAAGAGAACCAGAGAGGCCTTTCCAGTCATCAGAAAGACATAGGTATTCCAGTAGAACAGGAAAGAGGTTATACAGCAAGTCTAAGCGCAGGCAGTGAGTTAGGAAAGAAGGTTTAGGTACCAGGGAAGCAAACCTTAGCCGGTGACATGAATAACCAGAGTGCCTGCGATTTCACATACTTCTGATGTCGTCATAATTTCCTGATAGTCTGGCTGTTAGTGTATGTCTTTACTCCCAGGAGCCTCACCACCGTCTAGGAGGTTCTACCAAGGCTCCACTGGATGTGCCACTCTGTCCTTCAGAATTCGCACCCTGGAGATGACTCAGCACAAGAGAGGGCAGGGCACATTAGAAACAAAGAGCAAAATCTTTAATCTGAGCCTAGGCTGTAGACGTGAAGCGCCCCAGAGAGTCGGGCTCCCAAAGAACTCCTTCCAGCAGCAATGACAACTTGGTTCTGTAGAAGACAGAGAATTCATTAATTCATCATAACATTGAGTTCCTGCTCTAGTACAGGAGCCTGCAGATAGAAAGATGAATAAGACTTTATGGGCCAGACCCCCTGGCTTGAACATTTTCACCAAGTCTATAAGTGCCTGGGACAGGGACCAAGTCTCAGGTTGGTTTGTCTGCCTCTCCTGTGCCAGGGTGACACTGCTCATAACGCACATGCAGTGCTTCCCGCCCTGTCAGCTCTCGAGCTGACTGAAGGCGGCCCCACAAGAGGTTTCAGAAACCCATGCTTCAGTCAGTGGGGAGCCCTCCTAATTCTAGTTTACTATCAGTTTCATTACTTAATGCTCACATTTCATAGAAGTAAAATTTATTACTTGTCTCAGAAAAAAAGGCTACTGTGATCATCCTCATCTGTGTCTGTTGTTTAAAAATATTTATCTGATTTATCTTTATACTCAGAGTGCTTCAGTGTGTTCAATCCCAGTTATGTGTTGGGAAAGTAAAGAAATTTTAATATTGACCATTAGGAAGGTGAATTTATGGTGGTGTACAGAAAGGAATCAAATATAAATTATTTTTAGATACTACTCTCCTCTGTTGGTGTAAATAATGGTTATATGAGTATACTTTTTAGAAAATACATAGGTTCCTGATAATGTGTAATTTTTGGAAAAACGCATAAAACTTTAAATGCAAGCCAAGCTTATTATATAAACTATTCCTATGACCAGACCTTTTGAGAATCCTCCTACAAACAACAGTCAATCTCTTCTGTTGTGGTTCACCCTAAGTTTTTGTTATCTGGCTTGCTTGTAAATGGGTTAAAGCATGGGGCAATTCAACACAGTTTTCATAAGCCAAGTCGCAGCGCCTACCACAGCTTACAGACCTGGGTATGTGCTCTAAGATTTCGACTGGGTTCCCCAAGCCCTTCATCCTACAGTTGATACTTACTGTTCACACTGCTCTTTAGCACTTAATCCTATAATGACTTGCATTTTATTTAACTTCCCATGTGTATAAATCTTATTTTTTCTCAAGGGCAGAGACTTTGTCTTCTCTTTATACCTCTCGCAGCCTAGCACAGTTCTGTACAACATCGTATCCATTTGAATAAATGAATGAAAGCAGTGGTTTAGCGGTATATCATAAGATAAAACCCTTTGATCTTCTGTATCAAAATTCAAAATGCTCATACCCTTTGATTTAGCAGTCTTCTAAAATTTCACCTACAGGGATATTTGTACAATTATGTAGATAGTAAAAAAAAAACAAAATGGAAATAACTAAGTAAATGTCTATGAGCAGGTGAATCAAGGAAATAAAAGATGGTATCCAGACAATCAAATACTATGCAGCATTAGAAAGAATCAGATAGCTCTATATGTACCTGTCTGGAAAGAGGCAACACAGAGTATATGAAAGTGAAACAGTGACAAGAAGTGTGTATGTGTGTTTAGATGTTTATCTAAAGTCATACCAAAACTGAGCCCAGGAGAAAACACACCAAAATATTAGCAATGGTTATCCAGTATGGCAAGGGTCAGCAAATTTTCTGTGAAGGGCCGAGATGATACATATTTTGGGCTCTGGGACAGCCGTCTCCGGAGCAGCTGTTCACCTGCCGTAGTACAGTAGCAGCCGTGAAGACGTGAGCATGCATGGCTATGTCCCAGTCCAACTTCGAACACTCATAGAAAAGTCATGTGTCATGAACTTTCAGTAGTCTCCTTCCTGTTTTTTTCTGACCGCTTAAACATGTAATAATCATTTTTAGTTCATGGGCTACATATACAAAAACACGCAGCCAACTAGAGTTGGCCCACAGCTGTGATTGGCTAGCCCTGCTGCAGAGGGTGAAATTGGGGAACTTTTCTTCAAAAAAGTGATGGGAGTATGTGTGAATGTAATTCTTTGTGTTCCTCTATTTTTCAAATAAAAAAGAAAATCTGAAATATGAACAAAATGATATATCATCCCCAAATCCAGCTTTAGAACAAATACTAGAAGTACAGTCTCGGGACTTACCTTGTCCTTTGACCTCACAGTGATCATAGAGCTCCCAAATCTTGAGCTTGCCTGTAAAACAGATTCTGTTTATTAAGGTCTCTTGAAGACATACCATAATATTTTATGTTTGAAATAAGAGGAAAGGGCATTTTTTGTAGTTTTTCTTTTCTTCATTCCTTCAGGAGGTACTTACTTCAGGAGAAATCAGTACGTATTGGGCCTGAAAGAAAATGGTGAGAAAGGGAGACAATGTTATTACTGTTCATGTGGGGTTTTTTAACCAATTTTCATTAGACCCTTACAATCATATTTCTACATTTTTTTCAAGAATCCTTAAAAATGTGCATACCCTTTGATACTGGAAATTCCCCTTACAGGAATTGAACTCAGAAAAACAGATGTATAAAAATGTTTATAACATTTTTATGAAAATGAAAATTGAAAGTGGACTAAGTGACTAATAGTAATTTAAATAATTGTTAAACTATGGTTTATCTACAAATAAAGTACTAGGCAGCCAGTAAATATGTAAGAATGTAGGACAACATAGAAAAATGTTCTCATTATTTTGGTAGGTAAAACAAAATCAAGTTGCAGGGCAACCGGTTAGCACAATTGGTTAGAGCACGGTGCTCATAACTCCAATGTTGCCGGTTTGATTCCCCACATGGGCCATTGAGCTGCACCCTCCACAACTAGATTGAAACAACTACTTGACTTGGAGCTGTTCCCCAATAAAATTTTTTTTAAAAAATCAAGTTGCAAAATTGTATATGAAATCAATATGATCACAGTTGTTATAAATATATACACACATAGTGTAATGGTTAAGAGTGTGTTAGCATTAGCTTTTGGTTCAAGTCCTTACTGTGCCATTTCCTAGCATTATGACCTGGAACAACTTCCTTTCTGATTTTCAATTTGTTTTTTAATCTATAAATGGGCATAATAGTTACTTAAAACTTTGGTGTGGATTAGATGTATTTTAAGTTCTTAGAAAAAAATTCTAGAAGCGTACTACACATCAAAAAGTTAATAGGCATTATCTCTGCAGAGTGGAATTCTAAGTAGATGATTTTTAATTATTTTTGTACTGTTTTTTATTTTCTAAATTTTTACAATAAACTTTTATTAATTTTGCAAGTTAAAAAATGATTTTTTAATTTGAAAATATTGGGTTGCCGGAAAAGTCATGACACATTTTTGCAACGAAAAACATAGAAAAAATATGTCATGACTTTTCCAACAACCCAATAATAATGGCCAAGTGTTTTCGGCCCAGGAAACAAAGCATTGGGAGTTAATGAAACAGGAAATAGTAGGAGTTAATGAAACTGCCATGGCCTGTTTTCTTCTGCTGTGGGCTCCTAGCCAAGCAGTGGCAAGTGTGACCAAGGACTAAAGTGACAACAGGTCCAACTGGACGTTAGCTACAGGGGCAAATGCTGCAGAGATGCAAGAATGCAGGCAGATGTGCCTATAAAACATAGCCAAGGGATTGTGTCATGACCCCCAGGACTTTGAAGTTGCAGTAAAAATTGTAGGAATTCTACAGTGGACATGATTTAACAGGACATGATTTAACAAGTTATCAACAAATAGCTATCCTTTCCCAATTTTGTATGAGAACACTACCTTTTCTTCTGGACATGGAGACAGCCACGATTTGCATTTGCTTGTCATGTCGCCAAAGGTGGTATGTTTGCCATTATATACATAAACACGGCCATCTTCTCCCCCGATCAGCCCAGAGGTTATATCTGATATCCTCAGGGGAGCTGCCATGATGATTTCATCTGTGAACAATGAAACCAGCAGAAGGAAGTATCTAACTCCTCACTGTCATCCTTTCCATTGTCCCACCGCCAGATCCTAACCCAACCCCCCACACACACAAATAAAAGGATTTCATCCTTACAGAGGCTTTTGTTTCCTGTTTCATCATTCATCAGTAATTGATGTGACTCACATTACCACCTTCAAGAAGTACAACTCACTCTAGTACACTGGCTGTGGTCTTACCTGCCACAAAATCTGTCTAAAGGCCCTTGGGCCAGTGTGCTGTCAACTGTGAGGGCAGAGCCTAGATGACCCAGTTAGAGGACAGTCTACTGGGGAAAGGGACTCAGTTCTTGGCCAGAGGCACTGTTCCTTTCCTACCAAAGCCGTCATTATCCAGGTCACTCAAGTGCAGAACACCTCCAAATCGAGAGAAGCGGCGGTCTCCACTGAAGGTGCTGAGCAGAGAAGGCTGCAAGTCGAGCGATGACAGTTCATACATCCGAGTGGCACCACCTTGGTGCAACGTCATGGCCAGGAATCCCATTTTAGACACATCATCTGAAATAAAACACAGTACAGTTCCTGCTGCCATCACAAGAATGATGATAGGATGTAGAACACTGGATAAAATCCTTTTCTTGCTTCATGCTTCTATACCACAATTGACAGATCACTCAGAGTCACACAGGACAGATGGTTTTAGTGCCAGTCAACTCTGGTTAGGAAGGTACAGCTAGCTTGGGCACAGACCCAAACCCTGGATCAGCTCAGTGAAATCCCACCAAACAGGTGTTCAAATCTTGTCTTACCCCTCCAGTAACTTTTCACAGAACCATCTTTTTTTACATCACAAACTGCCGGTGTCACTCTCCTGACTTAACGAGGATGACAATTAAGTTTGCAAACTTATTGCAATAAAGTTGCTAACCTTTTTTGATATCAGAGGGATTATTCATTTTGAATTTGTATCAACTGAACAAACTGTTAATCAAGTTTACTGTTTGGAAGTGCTGAAAAGGCTGCATGAAAAAGTTAAACAACCCGAACTTTTTGCCAACAATTCATGGCTCTTGCATCACGACATTGCTCACACAGCACTGTCTGTGAGGGAGTTTTTAGCCAGTAAACAAATAACTGTATTGGAACACCCTCCCTACTCACCTGATCTGCTCCCCAATGACTTCTTTCTTTACCCAAAGATAAAGGAAACATTGAAAGGAAGACGTTTTGATGACATTCAGGACATGAAGGATAAAACGATGACAGCTCTGATGGCCACTCCAGAAAAAGAGTTCCAAAATTGTTTTGAAGAGTGGACTAGGCGCTGGCGTCGGTGCATACCTTCCCCAGGGGAGTACTTCAAAGGTGACCGTAGTGATATCCAGCAATGAGGTATTTAGTACTTTTTCTAGGATGAGTTCGCAAACTTAACTGTCCGACCTCGTACAGCCCTTTGTGTAAAGTGCAAATTCTTGGCAAGGCCTTACATATAGACCTACAAGACCTTACAGAATCTAACTCCTACTTATGGCTCCAGTGTTTGGGGCCACTTCCCCCTTCTCACCCATATGGCACCCATCAGAAATTTAAACCACAGCCCATTATATTTCTTAAATCTGGGCCTCTGAACATATGCTGTCTGTTTGAAATGGACACCCCTTCCCTTACACCCCTCACTCTGTTCTCATCCCTCTGCCGGCTAACTCCTGCAGAATTTGGCTCCTGTCCCCTCCTTTGGAAAGCCTTTCCTTACCTCCCTAGTCCAGAGTAGTCGCCACTCGCTCCCACGTGCTCCCGTGCCACACTGCCTACTGCCTGCCTAGTTCCATCACAGGGCAACACTGCTTTCTGTTCGCTCATGTTCCTGTATCATGCTGTCACTTCTGTAAGCGGTAGGACCAGGCAGGTTAGCACAAAACAGTGCATCGCTTGGTATGGTACAAGGACTGCATAAGTGTTTCGAAATGAATGGATTTTGAACAACTTCAAAACAAAGCTAGTTATATTTTTGCCTATACATTTAATCATATGGAACACAGCCTTGATTTCAGGAATTAGTACCTTCTCCAAAAACCAATAGCATCTATGGGTTGGGGTTGGTTCTCTGCGAGGTTTACTGTGAGCCAGGCAATGTGATGCTCTCGCATCAGTATCTTAGTACTGTGGGTAAAACCAGTACTGTGTTCATAGACAACCTTATGCCTTTTATTGCTGATTGTCAACTGGAAGTAACTGCTCAAAGCAGAACCAGCAATAGCAGTTAGAAATAAAAGCTCAGCAATCTGAGGCTCTTTAACATAAGGGTAAATAACCTGACCTAACACAATAACCCCCACAGGAACTGTTTTATCAAGTACAACCATTAATATTCAGGGTGAAAACCCAAAGTATCAAGAAAAGTTGAAAGAAAATCCTTATTCCCTTCTCATGCTTCCTTTCGGGAAC